AAAGAAAAGAAAAGGAAGGAAGGAAGGAAGGAAGGAAGGAAGGAAGGAAGAAAAGAAAAAGAAATCAAAGCCTCAAGCTGGGTATGGTGGTATATACCTTTGATCCTAGCACTGTGAGTTCCAGGCCAGCAAAGGCTATGAGAGACACTGTCTCAAAGAAAATTTTCCTAGGCAATGTCTGAAGAGATGGCTCTGTGGTCAAGAGAGCTTAGTGCTCTATCAGCAGAGTGAGGTTCAGATCCCAGCATCTATGTCAGGTGGCTCACAAAAGCCTGTAACTCCAGCTCCAAGGGATCTGATGCCCCTTTCTGGCCTCCATGAGCATCTGCGCACACACGCATGCACGCACACCCCCAAGCAGTTCCTTGTAATGTCTGTCTCTGCTGGGACCACTCTGGAGGGACCTAAGGGGCTCTAGCCCCTCCTCTGTAACCTTCTGAAGACCTTCTAACCTTCCAGACTTAGCCCTGGGTTCTCTGTTAAGCTTTGAGGGGTGGAGGTGGATACTCCAGCCCACAGTAGTCCTGCCTGCCCAGAAATTTCTGAAATATCTACTTTCTAATGTTTTTATTATCATATATTATACAAAACGGATTTCATTGTATTCTTATTCCTGTGTAAACAACGTATTTTAATCATATTCAATCTCATTATCCTTTCTTGTCCTCTTTTCCTAAGGACCCCTTCCTCTTCCCAACTAGTGTGTGTGACCCAATTAGGATTACTTACGGGAGCATGGACACCTTAGCCGTGGCTCCACCCAGGAAGGAGATGTCTCCACTCCAAGAACTGTCAACTTGCCTACTAGCCCTCAGGAGGGAGAAGTGGCATCTCATCCATCCCTCCTTCCCCTCCTCCCAGACAAGATAACATCTAACTTTGGTTCAGTTTCTTTCTCCCATCTTTCTTTTCTGTGCGGAGGATAGAATCCAAGGCCCTGAGTGTGCAAGCAAGTACTCCACTGCCAACCTGCATTCTAAGCCCCTGGCTTGGGTTCTTTCACATACAGACAAGCCATTTCATTCTTATCCAGTAGGTAAGTGTTTATGATCCTTCTTTATCAATTGAGCCTGGAGAAACCAAACCACTTGTCAAAAAAGAAACTCTCTGGCCTTAATTCTGACCCCAGGTTTCATTTCTGCTTCCTCTGTTAATAATGGACATTACTGGGGCTGGAGAGATGGCTCAGTAGTTAAGAGCACTGGCTGTTCTTCCTGTTCTTCCAGAGGACCCAGGTTCAATTCCCAGCACCCAAATGACAGCTCACAAACGTCTATAACTCTAGCTCTAGGGGACCTAGAATCCTCACATAGGCATGCAGGCAAAACACCAATGCATAGAAAATAGAAAATATTTTTTAAAAAATAATGAACTTTACTGGCCAGACATGGTGGTATATGCCTTGAATCCTGGAACTTTGGAAGTGAAGACTGGGGAATCACGAGTTCAAGGCCAGCCTTGGCTACACTGAGACTCGTTTAAAAGGGGGGATTAGTTGGGAGCTTAATATTCTTGTGCCTCAGGCATGTAATAATCCTTATTCTCCTTGTCAAAAAAAAGGAAGGAAAAGAAAAAGGAGAGGAAGAAAAAGAAGAAAGAAAGAAACTAAGGAAAAGAAAGAGAAAGAAGAGAGAGGGAGGGCCTGGAGATGGCTCTGCGGTTAAGAACAATGGCTGCAGTCGTTCCTAGACAGCTCAGGTTCAGTTCAATTCCCAGCACTCGCATGGCCCCTCTCAACTGTCTGTCACTCCAGTTCCAGGGAATCCAACAGCCTTTTCTGGCTTCTTTAGGCACTAGGCATGTGCGTGGTGTACAATGCATTTAGTTTTTTAAAGACAGGGTTTCTCTGTGTAGCTTTGGCGCCTATCCTGGCATTCGCTTTGTAGACCAGGCTGACCTCGAACTCACAGAGCTCCGCCTGCCTCTGCCTCCTGAGTGCTGGGATTAAAGGCGTGTGCCACCAACGTCCGGCATTTTTTTTAAAAAAAACTTAAAAAAAGAAAAAAAATGACAGCCATACATGATGGCATACACATGTAATTCTAGCACTCTCGAGTGAGGCAGGAGAATTGCCAGTGAAGGCCAGTCTGGACTATATAGTGTGATCTTACCTCAATAAAACAAAAGAAATACAATAATGATACCCACACACATAAAATTGGGTGCTTTGCAGGTATAGTGTGGTTTTGGTAGTTGTCTCTTCTATCTTTTGAAACCAGGGACTAAATTACATTTCTTAGGATCCCTAAGCCAAGCAGGTACTAAATTCACAGTCCCCTCTCTCTGAAGTGTCTTCCACAGGCTAACACCCCTCCACCCCCACCCTCCCCCATGCCATCTGCATCATCTGTCTGGCCAGCTACTTTCAGGAAGCAGTTGGGAGTGTGGCTCCATGGCAAAACACTTGTTTGGTGTTTGCAAGGCCATGGGTTCCAGCTGCACAAAAGAAAAGGTCTCAGATGAGTGGGAAAGGTGGGGATGCAAATTAGATACCAGAAACAGGGACGGGGAGAGGTGGCAGCGGCACATGAGCATGGGCAGGCTCACAGCCTGGGAAGGGGTGAGCTTACTTCTTGAAGTTTGGTGGGGGCAGAATATTGCCATGGACATCGAGTGGAGGTGCCCTTAGTTCACTCCTCAGCTTGAGTCTCTCTACCTCCTTCAGCTCTTTCACTGTTCTCATGATCACCTGCTTCTTCCTGTCCGAGTCCATGAAGATGGGGGTAGATTTGATGAAGGTCAGGAAGCTGTTTGGACCCATCCAGGAGGGTGGAGGGATGGCAGATTGTGCATCCGGGAGACGGTGGGGATTGAAATGAGTCAACAAGCGCCAGACATTGCTATCATAGGGTATGTCCGGCCTGGTGGGGAAGGTGGCAGGCAATCGTCCCACATCGAGCCATGTGTGAAAGCCCCAGGTGTGCCGGGCTGCATTCTCCCAAGGACAGAGTACCTGGTGACGAACCTTGGACTTGATTTGAGTGGGTGGTGGCCGCATCAGAGCTAGCTTGTGGTACGTTTGCTTGGTGAAGCCTGGCAACTCCGTGGTCTTTTGGGGGAGGAAGAACTCACGCTGATTCCAAGTCTGGTTGGTGGGGAAGGAATCTCTGGCATGGACCATCTAGGGAGACACAAAAGGGAGCCTAGAATGGCGGCTGTGCCAGCAGAGGAGCAGGGTGCTGAAGACATGCTTTGCTCTCCTTTCTGGGCACAAGCTGCCAGTCTCCAACCCAGGACTCATCAGGATGTAGATGACCTCCACAAGTAGGTATCTCTCCATTCCCACTATCATCAGGGTGTGTGTGTGTGTGGTGTGTGTGGTGCAAGTACATTCACATGGGTGCATGTGAACACGTATATGTGTGTCGAGTCAGGAGACACCTTGGTTGTTGTTCATCTTATTTTGGATTTTCGGATGGTATCTTTCACCGAACTAGGAATTATTGGTCTGGCTACACTACACTGACTGACTATCAGCCTTCAAGCTTCAAGAATCCACCTCTTTCCACCCTAAGCCCCAGCCCTGGGATTTTAAGTGTGTGTTACCATTTAAAACTTTATTACCTGAAAAAATATTTTTATGAGTGTTTTGGCTCTAAGTATGTATGTGTACCACATGGGTGCTTCTCAGAGGGCAGAATCCAGGGGACCCAATGGAATTAAAGATGGTTGTGAGCTGCCACGTAGGCAGGAATCTAACCTAGGTCCTCTGCAAGAGCAGCAGATGCTTTTAACTACTGAGTCATTTCTCTAGCTCTCTGTAAAATTTTCTTATGTGAGTTCTCGGGATTGAACTCTGGCTGTCATGCTCACACAGCGAGCACTTCACAAACTGAGCTAGCTCTCTCTCAGCACTGCCAGCTTGACAGGATCTAGACTCACATAGGATGCAAACGCCTTTAATCCCAGCACTCAGGAGGCAGAGGCAGGCGGATCTCTGTGAGTTCGAGACCAGCCTGGTCTCCAGAGTGCCTGCCAGGATAGGCTCCAAAGCTACACGGAGAAACCCTGTCTCGAAAAAACAAACAAACAAACAAAAAAAACAAAAAACAAACAAAACAAAACAAAACAAAACAAAACAAAAGGATGCAAGCCTCTGGCATGCTCAAAAGGGGTTCTCTAGACCAGGTTAATTAAGGCAGGAAAGGCACACCAACTCCAATGGCACCATTCAGCAGAAAGCGAGGTGAGCACTGGTGTTCATGTTCCTGACTGATGACAGACACCTACCATGACAGGTCACAGGCCTGAACTGAGAGCCACAGTAAGCCCTCCTTCCCGTAACTCTGCTTGTCAGGGTTTCATCAGTGAAACCAGTAGTTGCTGTATTCCCTCCCCTCTGTATCATTTCCAGAGATTCATCAAATCTCATTCTTTTTCCAATTATTACATTTTGGCTTTGATTTCCACTCTGCCAACTTCTGTTCTTTTAAAAATCATTTACATGCACACATTTGTATCTTGGGTTTAAAAATTCTTTTTGTTTTTCGTAGACAGGGTTTCTCTGTGTAGCTTTGGAGCCTGCCCTGGAACGCACTCTGTAGAGCAGGCTGGCCTCGAACTCACAGAGATCTGCCTTCCTCTGCCTCCTGAGTGCTGGGATTAAAGGCAAGCGCTGCCACCACCCAGAGATTTTTATCTTCTTAAAGTGTTATGTGTATGGTTGTCCTGCCTGTGTGTATGTCTGTGCACAACACACATGCTCAGTGTCAAAGGCGGCCCAGCAGAGGACATTGGATGCTTTGAGAGCTGGGCGTTGGTGGCGCACGCCTTTAATCCCAGCATTCGGAGGCAGAGGCGGTTTCTCTGTGAGTTCGAAGCCACCCTGGTCTCCAGAGAGTGCCAGGATAGGCTCCAAAGCTACACAGAGAAACCCTGTCTCGAAAAACCAAAATAAATAAATAAATAAATAAATAAATAAATAAATAAAATAAGAGAGAGAGAGAGAGAGAGGGATGCTGTGAGCCAGGTGCTTGGAACCTGGGTCCTCTGGAAGAACCGCCAGCGCTCTTCAACACCAAGCCTCTATCTAGGCCCCTACCTGCACTTAAATTTTATTTAGTATGTGTGTGTGTGTGTGTGTGTGTGTGTGTGTGTGTGTTAGGGTGAGTGTGTGTGTGTGTGTTGTGGGGTGTGTGTGTGTGTGTTGTGGTGAGTGTGTGTGTGTGTGTGTGTGTGAGAGTGTGTGTGTGTGTGTGTTATGGTGAGTGTGTGTGTGTGTGTGTGTGTGTTATGGTGAGTGTGTGTATATGTGTGTGTGTGTTATGGTGAGTGTGTGTGTGTGTGTTATGGTGAGTGTGTGTGTGTGTGTGTGTGTGTGAGAGTGTGTGTGTGTGTGTGTTATGGGGAGGGTGTGTGTGTGTTTTGGGGAGTGTGTGTGTGTGTGTGTGTTATGGTGAGTGTGTGTGTGTGTGTGTTATGGTGAGTGTGTGTGTATGAGTGTGTATATGTGTGTGTGTGTGTGTTATGGTGTGTGTGTGTGTGTGTTATGGTGAGTGTGTGTGTGTGTGTGTGTGTATGTGTGTGTGTGTGTGTGTGTTATGGTGAGTGTGTGTGTGTGTGTGTGTATGTGTCATGGTGAGTGTGAATGTCAGAGGACAAATTATGAAGCCAGTTCTCTCCTTCCACTACAAGTTCTGAGAAACTGAACTCGGGTATCAGGATTGGTGGCCAATGCCTTAACCCGGAGTTATTTCACTGGCCCCCAACTTCCTCACCACACTCCCCTCCGTTCTGATGGCCTCCTATGTATCCCTGTAGACACATCAGGCTTAGGGGGAGGTGAGGACCTGTGTCAGCCATTCTAGCAACATACTTTCCATTGTTCCTGGTCCTGGTGACACCCTAGGAAGTCTCCCTAAAGGAGGGCCAAGTGGCCTTTTATCCGAGTCCCATTACCTCTTCTGACATTGTCACTTTTCCTTCATTCACAGTGAAAGGTCAGTTGGCCCAAAAGCATCTAGAATGTCCTTTCCTTACCTTTTCTGTGTCTTCCCTCCACAAAAAACTGTGCCCCCTTTCCTGCAACTCCATGAGAAAATATCCAATTCTGCTATGGTTTGTGTAAGTGTCTCTCAAAGGCTTGGTCCCAGCCTGAGGACTGCCTGGGAGGTGACCCCTCAGGTAGAGGGGTCTAGTGGAAGTTAGGCCATGGGTAGCATGCGCTTAAGGGGGACAGTGGGACCCAGGCCCCTTCCTGCCTCTCTGCTTCTGGGTGCCCATGAGGTGAGGTGAGCAGCCTGCCTTGCCATGCTTTCCTCCATGAGTCTCCTCATAGATCCAGAGCAGCAAGACTACACATGGAAGGAAGCTCTGCCAAGAGCCCCAGGGAACCTTCCCTCTTTTGAATTATTACAAGTATTTTGCCACAGCCGTAGAAAACTGACAAAAACTGTTAACAAAGTCCTTATTTCAGATGTAGAAAGACCCTGTTACAGCAAGGAATTCACATGAGGTCTCAACTGAGTGGGGCCATGTTCAACCTGTCTGAAACATGGCTAAGAGCTTGCTCAGTCTGACCAGGACAGAAATGACTCTTCAATGTTCTCTCCTCTCACCACTCTAGGGCTTTCTTCACTCCCAAATCCCATTATTTCTTCAGCATCATCCCCTGAATCATTTCTTTAAAGTTAAACTCTAGTGCATCGGTGCCCACACGCACATGCCATAGCATGCAAGCAAAGGTGAGGACAGTTCTAGAGAAGGAACTCAGGCCACCAGGCAAGTGTTCCAGTCACTTGAGCCATCCTGTTGGCTCCCTGCATGCTTTTCTCCTTCCTTCTTACCTTTGATTTTGTGATAAGATCTTGTTTGTAGCCCTGGTGGACTAGGCTGTTGAATGCCAAATTACAGGCATGCCTCACTGTACCTAGCTCCCTAGGTCTTTTCTCTAAGAGCATCCCAGAGGAAAGGTCTGAGAGTTAACACAAACATGCCTGTCTATTCCAGGCAGATCTCCACAGGTTTGACAATAACCTGGCCTAGGTGTGAATTTGAACCAGGGATATATAGGGAGGTTCTGCCTCAAAAACAAATGAAGCCAAATAAACCAACCCAAACCTGGGCACAATGGCACATATGTATAATACCAGCCCTTGGAAAGTTGAGACAGGGCTACAGCAGGCTGATAGCATCAGGCTAGCCAGGACTACAAAACAAACACCCTGAAATCTGAATATGAAAGATGCCCAATGCTGAAAAATCTTATTTTTCCTGGGCAAGGGCAAGTTGTCACAAGTGGAAAATTCCACATTTGACCTTTGCTATCAGTCTCAAATATCAGACATCCTAAAATATTGCACACAACAAGTCACCATCTGGCTGTGTAGAAGCCACATATGAAACACAGAATTTCATGGCAAGTTTTGGGTCTCTTCCCAAGATAGTTTATGACTACAAACACTCCAAAATCCAAAAATAAATGCCAAAGCTAACAATATTTCTGGTCCCAGGCTTTTTAGATAAGGCCTCCAATCTGCACTAGTCAGGCTCCTCCTCCTCTCTAAGCTCCAAGCTCAGCGTATCATAGGATGAAGGCAGAAAACAGTTTGTGTACCGGAGAGCCTGCTGCTCAGGACAACCTAAAAGGTTAGCACAGTTGGGCCCCACTCTACCTGCAGGAAAGGCTCCCTGACATGAGATACACAGCTCATACTTGGCCTTTGGAGGTTTTTTTTCCAGCTGCAGGTCAGTCTTCCTCTGAGCCACAGAGCCAGGAGGGGAGGCTTTAGGGGAAAGGCCTTTCTGGTACCATTGTTTGCCACTGGGTTGCTATGGTGATGCTTCCTGACTAGTGCCACTGGGAGGAGGCTCTTCAGTCCCTGATGCTCTCCTGGTGAGGTAGGGAGGGGGCAGTGTTTTGTCAGATCTGGTTACTAAATGTGGTAACAAGAGCTGCTTCTGGGAGGACCTTGCCTGGGAGACTTGGGGAGGAATCAGGCAGCTTTCAGGCTTGGGGCTGGGATAGACGTGGTCATGAGACACCTGCAGTGGGCGGAGCTTCCAGGCTGGAATGTTGAAGGGAAGGGAGGACAAGTGTTGTTGCTGAGAGGAATCAGCAGGGGCCTAAGTCAGATTCTGGTCCCAGGGAACAAGGTCTGAGGTGGCAGGGAAGAGGTGGGCAGTGCAGGGAACAAGAAAATGATTTTATGGGAGAGAGGATCTCACATAGCCTAGACTGGTAGATCTTCCTGCCTCTACCTCAAAGGCTGAGATTATAGGTATGAACCACAACACCAGACAAAACTGGCAGTTTCCGTGTCGAAAAAGGGTGTGGGAGGAACATCTGTGAAAGACCTTGTCCATCGTCTCCAGTCTCCACCATCACCTCATTCAATTCCTCGAGACCAGCAGTGCCACCCTGGGTTTTATTCAGTAGGTAGTTACAGTAGTGTCAGCTTGTGTATTGGAGCCTAGGGTGGCTCTTTGCAAAGCTCAGGTGCAAGCTAAGGAAGCCAGGCAGTTCAGGGTCACATCTTCCTGCTCAGGCCTCAGCCTGAGCTCTCAATGCTAGCTTCTCTGGCATGACTGGGATGCTATCAGAGAAACACCTCACAGAACTCATGTGAGTGCCCATCCCCCCACACCCAAACCCAACAAGCCTTTACTTGCTTCTTGCAGGACCACTGGCTTGGAAACATGGGGATGTCAGGAAAAGGCAGTAAGTGGGATCCTGGCAAGCCGACCTGTATGTCTAGGTGCCCACAGCAGAACCCACAAGTGTGGAAGAAACTGCACCGCAGGTCCCTCCCTCACAGGCCACAAGCAGAAGCAAAGTGCAACCCCTTGTCACCCCACCCACCCCTGGCAGTCTCTAGATAATGACCTAAGGAAATAAGCTTACATTTATAATTAGAGGACAATTTGGGGAACTTACACCATTTACACGGGGGAGCAGCAGATGACTACTGGGCACTTCCTGGTCATCACTGCTTTTGTCACCCACCCTTCAGTTACCAGCAGAGAGAGTGGGCTCAGACTCTCTGGGAGACCCTACCGCATGCATAGGTCCCAGCAGTGGGTTAGATGTGACTATCATTTTGGCATAATTAGGTAAGGGGCACAGCTCGGCCCTTGCCTGCTAGCTTCCCTCAGAGGGCTTGGGGTACACTGAGCCTTGCACTAACCAGCTACATAAGTGCCAGGCCTGGCCTCTATCGCAGCTCAGGGATGAACTGAGACCAGTTGATGTTGTCGGGGCCCAGAGGGTCCTCCTCCAGGCCAGGGAAGCTGATGTCCAGAAGGATCTTACTGAGGCTGTCATTCATTGTGTCCAGGACCAGGCCTTCTGTGAGAGAACGGTTGGCTGAAAGACTGGGGACCTGTGGCTCAGGGGAGCCTGGCTTGGGGACCTCCAGATGTGGGGGTGGAGAGCTGCTAAAGGGGTCAGAGGCAAGGTCAAAGGGTTCTGAGTTGAGGAGCTCCCGGGGTGAGTCAAAAAGGGGAACACTTTTCAGAGGTGTGCTATTCAGCTCCATCAGCCCCAGGGAGTCAGGCAAGGGGCCAAAGGCGCCCTGGGGGGTTCGTACTGGGCTGAAATCTAACCCCCCAACTTTGGTTGGGGGTGTAAGCCTCCAGGCCTCAGGGGTTCTGGAGAGCGCAGACTTGCTAGGAGTGGAAGAGATAGGCAGTGTCTCCTTGACAGGGGTCTTGAAGGGTCCTCCCTCTTCCTGAGGGCAGCTGAGCTGGGATGCGGGCTCTGAAGACTCTGCCAGGAGTAGGGGCTCCATGGCTGGTCGCAGTGTGCCGGGATCCTCTGAGAAGAGCAGTTCAGGCTCATCTAGACACGGGGACCGAAGGTGCTGTTTCCTCCGAGACCGGCTCACCTCCCTCTTCTCTCTTCGCTTAGTCACCAGCATTTCTGAGACACGCCGGGTTGGGGACTTAAGCCCATAATAGGAGGACTTCTTGGGCTTTGGGGTGGGAGAGCAGGAAGAATCTTCCCAGGAATTGGATAGTTCCTCTTTCAGTGATGCACACGGTGAGGGCCACTCTTCCAAGGGAGGGCTCTCCACTCTGCTAGGCCTCTCTAAGTGTGCCAAGTCCTCCCCAGGCTGGATTTCTTCCTCCTTGATAGACTGAATGGGGAGCAAAGGTAATAGTCCTTCTTCAAGCAGGGGTTTCTCCTCCTTCACCGGCCCTTCAGCGGGAAGTGGGGCTACCCCTTCATTGGCTAGCAGTACCTTGGGTGCAATTCGGACTCGCTTGCTATGACGGGCGAGCTCTGAGCTCATAAGCGAAGCTGCCAGAGGCAATGGCACCTTCACCGAGGGCTGTAACACCAAAGACTGGTTCACTGGGAACTGGATGGGTACCAGGTACGAGCTGACCCGTGGGAGCAGTGGCTTCATCTTTCGCCCTAGGAGGAAGCAGGAGAGATCAGAGGTAGCAAAGCTAGGGGCCCACTCCTTCCCACCCCAAGAGCTCTGCTCAACTATGGGCTCACAGTCTTTGAGTTGGAGACAACCTGAAGATAAGATTGGGCAGGTCTGAGGCCCACTCTCATACTCACGTGAGCCCAGTGGGAGTTCACTTTTGATGGTCACATTTTTACGGAGCTCAGGATTGGGTCGTTTCTGCTGCTGCTTATGGGGAGAGAAAGAAACCTGGGCTAGTAAGGTAAGGGAAGACAGCAGAACCCCACCAACTTGAGCTGATGCCATTGACCTAACCAACAACCCAGACAGAAAAAGCTAGTTTGAATCATGGATGCAGGTAGGTACAATCTGTCAAGCCATGCTAGGGGAAAAGTGGACAGCAACAGACATGAGGACAGGACAATGTGACACCTTACCCATGGTCCTCACCACCCCCAGGGAGTGCAATGGCTATCAGAGAGACAAAGAAAAGGCAGGCTGAGAGAACAGGCTGCTGCTGCTGCCTGCAAGGTCCATGCCAGGCACTTATCCTCACAGTGGCAGGTCCTGCAGTGCCCACATTGCTCTGCTCAGCACACCTTTGTGGTGCTGTGTTTAGGGCTGGCAGCCATGGGGCCAAACACAGTCCCCTCCCCACATCACAATTCTCTGCCCACTAAAGCCATGCTGAGCAGTGAAGGGAAATAAGGCCAAGCCCCGAGCCAGAGGAAAAGAATCTTACTGATTCCAAGTGCTCGGGCGATTGTGGAGACCCTGGTTCCAGTGGCTGGTGGCGGCCAGGCATCGAGGGAGAGAAATGAGATGAAGTTACCACCAGTGTGGTCAATCTACCCAGACTAGGAAGAAACCTATTTGATGGGGTGCCAAGGAACACCATGGATAATGGTCCCGTCCAGAAGAACAGTACAGCAACAGCCTCCTTATGGGCACTCAAGAGTCCCCCAAACAGTTTTTTCTGAAAACATATTCTTGTGGCTCCATTTCTGGTCTCTAGACCTTAAAGAAGGGTTTCTTTGGAGCAAGACTGGAAATACAAATTACAGGGCTGAAGAGATTGCTTAGTGGGTAAGACAGCTTGCTGTATAAACATAAGGATCTGAGTTCAGATCCCAAAACCTACATTAAAAAACAAGCCAGGGGTAGCCATGAATGTGCTTATAACCCAGCACTATGAAGGGTAGGGGTGGAGATAGGCAATTGATGGGTTTGATGACAATCAGCGTAGCTCCAGTTTCAATGAGACACCCCATCCTGAGTGATGAAACAGGACACCTAGTGTCCTCCTCTGGCCTCTGCACATACACTGGCACACAGATGCACCTTCCCCCCACTACTAAGCCCATCCCACATTCACTGATAAGAACCCCAAGTTAAGAGACCTGGAAGCTGTATTGCAACTATCCACTTACTGGTGAGTTAGAGACTTCTCTATTGGACCAGGACAGTTCTCTTTGTACTCTGGTCTAGGGCAAAGGAGTGTCACTTGGTATCTGTCACCTGAGTTCAGGGCATTATGTGAGTCATTAACTGGCTGACTGGCTTCTAGCTCTCAATGAGAACATCAGGAGGGACACTGCTCTTTCCAGAAGGCTCTGTAACCAATAACTCTGCCTCTAGATGAACAGGGACACTCACCTTAAACACCTGGTCCAACGTCAAGTAGCGATTGGCACTTGGGTGGATGGTCCAGAAAGAGACCTTGCCATTGGCAGATGTCTCCCGAACAAACATATCGTGGAGAGAAAGGTTGTGACGAATAGAGTTCTGAAATAGAAACATAAGCAGTTCGCAGTTTAGTTAGCTTGGGAAACACCACCTTGGGAGTGAAAGGGGAAAAGGCACGGATCTCCCACTATGCTTAACAGACTGTGCTTGTAGTCTGGCCTGTTGGCACCCCCCTTCCTGATAACCACACTGCAGAGCTAACCCCAGCCAAACACCCACGAGATAAAACAGATCTAGCCTATCTCTAGGCTCTGTAAGTCTTAGGTTGGAGCTTCTTCCCTTTCTATTCCTACTCTCTAACCCAGTGCAGGACTGAGGTGAAAAGAGCCCTAAAAAGGAACTTTACACTTGCAACTTCTGCCTCATCACCTGAGCAGAAAAATGAAGACAGGCTAAGCCCGCAGCTGAGAACCCTGTATCTTCCAGAAGTGCATCAAGTCCTTTGGCATCAGGAGAAATGAGAAGACTGCTTTCCACTGCACAGTCCACCGAGAAACACTAACGTACAGGAGCAGTGGCAGGAAAAAAAAAAGTATCTCTATGCCTGAACCTGGTGGTGCACACCTGTGTTCCCAGTGCTTAGGAAGATGAGGAAGAAAGATACGGAGTTCAAAGCTAGTCTGGGTTACCCAGCAAGATCCTATCTCAGAGACTGGAAATTTTGTTTTTGGAGATACAGGAACATGCCAACATGAGGATCAAATACAACTGAAACGTTGCTACCCATGGCCAGGTGTCAGGTAGCCCAGGTGTCACCCAGGTGTCACCACTGTAGACAGAACTCAGGACAGACTACAGAGAGGACATGAGGTCAGATGATGGTTCAAGCAGGAGTCAGATGTCATTCTTCCTGGCAAATCCCACTTGAAATCCAGGCTCTGTGCATGGCAGGTAAGTACTCTGCCACTGAGCTACATTCCCAGCCTGGCAAATCCCATTTCTACCCAAGCCTTCCAATGTAATGTAAGGGACTGAAAAGTGGGTAAAGGTACCTGCTGCCAAGCCTGAGCCCAATCCCAGAACTCACATTCCTCTGACCTTTACATGGCCGCCGCCGCCACCACCACCACCACCCACCCACCCACTTTCTGTTTCTGAAACAGATTCCCAGGCATCTATCTCAGAGTCCCAATACATGAGATGACAAATAAGACAAAGGATGGTGAGGTGGCTCAGAGGTTAAGAGCACTGGCTACTCTTCCA